ACCTGGGTGTTTGTTACATCGACCCCAGTGTTTTAGATAATCCGTACAGTGATTTAGGATCACGTTTCGTTACAGAATGTAATTATAGGGAGGTCATTTATGCAACTCCCTCGCTTTTGCACATTTGAAAAGTGCAAATCGAAGTTATATCTGCTATTTGCAGGACCAAATTGCACAATTCACTGGTCACCATGAACAACTTTTGATATTACAAATGACACACAGCGAGGACATGCGCCGGGGTTCTACCGTACAGCGATGTACGTACCGTGCCACATCGTAGAAAACCACGCCATCTTCTTGTTCCATCGCATAGGACATGCAGGTAGCGTGTACTACGCGATGGAATTAATAGCCAAGGTGTTTTGGTCACTTCAGCATCACATGTGATTATTATTACTCAGAGTTATTTGGCATTTATAAAACACCAGTGAATTAGCTAAAGCACCAGGTATTGTGCTTTTCATGTAGTTTGCCCGTTGTTTAACTGCGTTAAACAACCAGACGTTTAAAATAATATAAGCCCGATTGAAGATAAAACAACGCTAAACACAAGTTCTGCATTTCAGCAGAATAAAACAACCCTTACTTTATTTCAGCTGCTAACTAATCGAGTTGCAGTACCAGACCAACTTAGGCCGTACAACCACGAGTTCATCACGATGCATACCGTATTAGGATACGAAATGGGAATACTATATATCGTGTAGTCGTAGTGCGCCCTTGCCTTCCACGTACAGTGCTAAGGTTAGAGCAGATCAAGAGTTGAAGGTATGGCATAGCTTTGAATCATTGGACAGAGCGACGACTACATGTACTGTAGCCTAACTATATCCCTAACGTTATATAACATTAGTCGGAGTAGATAATGTTAGTACTGTAGTGATCACGGATGGGAGGTCATGTATGTGGCCATAGCTCCTTCAGTTTCATTGCGTCAAGCACCTTGAGATGTTGACGTAAAGCAAGTTGTTTGCCAGAATGAAAACGGCAAACAACTTGTTTTACGAAAGTGCCAGTAAAACCACCTTCAACCAACCAATCATCGCAATACATGAAGTAACTTTAAACAACGCACCCAACCGTTATTCAAGTTACTTTAGACATTATTTAAGTCTGAGAAATTTTTAAACAATGAATTTAACCCTGGAATTGCCAAAAAAGGTGCAAAGCACAATATTTATTCAACTTTGTAACACAGTTGCTTGCTACGATAAGTACATCCTATCGTTAACGTGAAACACAAAGGCACACAACGTTGTTCACCGTTAATCGTACCAATGGTGAATGCTACGTACTGTAG